CAGCGATCCCCCTCCCCCTCCCCCGCTCATAGACGGAGACTGCGTACTACAGTTGATTATAGTTCCTGGGCTCCCTGTGCCATAACTCTAATCATTTACTTCAGTGCCCCTTTCCTATTTCAATTATTGTACATATTATGATGTACACAAGCAATATACTCTTCTTTTGGACACTTGTAGTTATTTGGAGGGACATGATATTGAATTACATTGGGCGGCTGGAGTGTTAGGGTTCAGGTTAGGAGAGAAACAAAATACAAACAAAGCGGACTCCCCATACAACTACCGGGACCGCCTGGTCGAACAAAGCAAGGATGAGATGAAAACATATTTTTCGTTGCTTGACATGTTCATGCCCTCCATGATTCAAATGTCTCTGCCCTTATCTCGGACAGTTTGTTTGAGATTCACTCACCACCAGTTGTACCAAACTGCAAAGGGGTCGCCAAAATATGGCCTTGGGCCGCGAAAGACGACTATATATTGACGTGTGGCCGTCGAAAATCATCGAAGATTTTGACTGGATTAACAAATCTTTATAATGTTTCGAATTTTCTCTGATGCAATAACACCGAATCACTAATAGAACATGTAGATAATATACTTACGATTGCGATGACTTGGGTGCGAGATTTGGACCAATAAATATGAAGACGGAACAGAACTAAACAAACTAGCACTCGATCAATCAAGCGAGCTTTGTAACGGAAACTTACATCGCCCTCTGGAGATACTGTATTATGTTTTAATGACTTTTTGTTTTGTAATCTCGTTCAAGTCTCGTCATAGACCACTTTCTCGGAAGTAACGAGACAGGGGTGCAGAAATATGTTCCATGAATATACAAACATTTCGGTTTGTCGATGGAAAGATATTTTATTTTTGTGACGTCGATTGGTACACCCTAGAAGTACAATGTCACGCGTGAAAGTTTACGTTACACCTAAAAATGGTTTAGACGATTTTCCCGGAAGTCAAAGATATGGGGTTTGATATGGTAAAAAATGTCAAAATTAACATCCCCGCTACACCAGGCGGTTTTAAAAATTTTGCAAAATCCCCACTTTTTCGAGTTCCCAATGGTACATACACCAATTTCTCGGAAGTAGCGAGACTGGGGTGCAAAAATACTCCTGCAGTGTCATGGCAGAAAATACTAACATGTCAGTTTGTTGATAGTCGATAGAAGGGAATTTTATTTTTGTGACGTCGATTGGTATACCGTAAAGCAAAATACCACGCGTGCAAGTTTACGCAAAGACACTGGAAAAAGTATCTTTGGTTTACGTTACACAACAAAACAACATGCGCGCGTCTTCGACTTCCGGGGAAAGTCTTTCAATTTACAATTTTAAGATTTGAACGCGTGCGGCCGCACTGAGAGTGTGATTTTAAAACCCGATTTCTACACCAGAATAACATTGACTTCATCCAATTCTGACAAGATCTCCTCGAATTAAGCAACATTATTATACACATACGATGATCGGCATATTTAGTTCGCTCCCTTCTTTAATAGTTGATTTCAAATATGATCTACCCCAGCTGCCTTTTAAATTGGTAAAAGTGTTCATTGATTTGCCACCGGATTTGCCACAAATACAGAACACCAGGAAATTAAAGGGCGGCAATCGTCGTGCCGCGTCCTCTTAGTAGTGGAACTCATAGCGACTTATACAAAGCGTGTAAAATACATTGTTTATTTACATGAAATTTGAACACGCGCTGTGTGACGACCACCGCGCTTTAAATTTGTTTTCCTCTAATTCTTAAGCTCCCACTTTTGTCAATAAAATACTAGTAGTCTAAATGTTATTATTTTTCGAGTCGAGAGTAACCGTGGAGAATGAACTCCTCTTTAGGAATTTTATCATCGGTGGGTCGGTAAATGCAGTATACGTTTTCTACATCCGTTTTTGACTTCCGTGTGCGAAGCACACAATGGGAGTTTTTGAAGTTACCCTGTCTGTCTGTCTGTGTGTGTGTCTGTCCGTTCCACTGATATCTCAAGAACCATATGTTGGTTTTTAATGAAACTTAGTGTATAGATGATCTTGGCTGATGCGCAGATTTGATTAGGTTTGGGTTGAAATCCTTGCATATTAATTACCTGATTTGCATGATAATTATCTAATTTTTAGCTGTTCCGTGACTTGTTCCACTGATATCTAAAGAGCTATTCATTAGATTTTGATGAAACTTGGTACATAGATGCTCTGGACTAATGCACAGATGTGATTAGTTTTGGGTAAAAATCTATGCATATAATTGACCTAATTTGCATAATGATTAGTCAATTTTCGGCTTTTCCAATGATACCTCAGGTACTAATCATCATATTTTGATAATTAGTTAATTTGCATAATTAGTTAATTTTTGGCTTTTAAACCGATATCGCAAGTACTACCGGTAATAATCCCATTTCAATGAATCTTGGTACATAGATGTTCTAGGCTAAGAACATTCTCCTGTGTAAACTGGTAACAGTTACCCTTGTTGTACATGCATGGAATATCAAACTCATAAGCCTTACTAAAGTAATCCCTCAGACCATGTTCTCCATGCAGGCTTTTGATATAGGGAATCCATTTAAAGGACCTTGGTTTTGAACATGTTGTCCACCATACTTTGAGTACAGTAGTAGGATCCACATAATATAAACAATGACATGTTTTAATGTTTGATCTTGAGTATTGTTATTGACCTACTTAGACTATTTGACCTTTTAGATTAGTTACTAGTTCAAATAATCAGTGTGCTTCAGGTACTGTTTAAATAAATGTACATATAGAATATTGTTCTACTGATGATTATTTTATTAATAATGTTTCATTACATTACATAACAGAATAAAACACACAAAACAATAGCAGTATAATGTTGCCACATAATTCCAATAAAAGTTAATCTTGCTTTATGTGGATATAATACAACTGGTAATGATTACTTCATGAATTATAACATACTGTAAAGAGGTTAATTATTCACTTGGTTTTAATTTTGCTTATTTCGCATACTGGAAAATGCGCTACATTAAAACAAAGTGAATATGTAAAATTGAGCATAGAACACATTATCTAAATGATAAAACCGTGAATTTAAAACCCTTTGAATATGCCTGAAATGGTAAATCAGTGAAATTTAAACCCGGTGAAAATTAGTCATTTTACAGTATATATAATAAAAAAATACACCCACACCCTTGATAATCATAATATATTATGCATTTTACTAAAAAGATAAAAGGTGCAATTGTCAATTTCAGAATCAATTTCCCTTTGAAAATGTGCATGATATCATTTTGATATGATACATTCAATGCAAGAAGTACTCCATCAATGAAGGCCATCTCAAAATGCCTGTCAAAGACCAATTACTGAAAGAACTTCGTAATTATCAATTGTTAACTTTCAAAAATTTTGCTCATGATTATACAATTGGGTTCACAATACAATTTCTTGGTAAGTATTGTAATGTGTTGAACTGTATAATCTGAATCCTTCCATCTCATCACGTCTCCTCTCAACAATAAACCCAGCATGTACAGTACTTTGTGTCTTCTGTTCTTTCTTACTTGAACACTTGTATTGTCTGTTAAGTGTGACAGTTAACTGTTTTCTATCATTTATTGTTTCCCAGGTATATGTACATTCCTCCCCCCTGTGAATAATTAACGAGTGTTTTTGATTAGATAATTGACTATATATACTCTCACATTGATCACAGTGTAACCGATTTGCTGAATTTGGCGTCTCAATAACATTTTTCCCTTTTGCATTTATGTAAGTGAAGTTTTGGAGTTTGTGTTTTTTAGCAGGATGCATTTTAATGACCTTTTTTGAAGAACTGTGCGTTTTAAATCTATTAATGTCTTCTAACATCTCAATGGCATATGTTTGCATATGGCATTCATGGTTATGGGAAAAGTGAAAACTGATATCACATAAATTACAATACAGCATTTTATTGGTACAAATATGTTTCCGTTGAATATGATTTTTGAGAGTACCTGATCTGGAAAAACTTTTCTCACATTGTTCACACTGATATGGCTTCTTATTTGTGTGCGTTACCATATGCTGTTTTAGATTACTTGACTCATAAAAACTTTTCCCACACTGCTCACAATGATATGCCCTTTCATTAGTATGTGTTCGCATATGCGATTTGAGAGTACCTGATCTAGCAAAACTTTTCTCACATTGTTGACAATGATACAGCTTCTCATTTGTATGTGTTATCATATGCTTTTTTAGATATCCTGAATTAGCAAAACTCTTCTCACACTGTTCACAATGATATGGCCTCTCATTGGTATGTGTTTTTATATGCCGTTTGACACAACTTGATCTGCCAAAACTTTTCCCACAATGTTGACATTGATAAGGCTTCTCATACCAATGTGTTGCCTTATGGTGTTCGTAGGTACTTAACTGAGAAAAACGCTTCTCACATAGTTTACAGAGATAGAGCTTTTTGTTGGTATGTGTTCGCATGTGTTGTTTAAGATTACATGACTGAGTAAAACGCTTATTACAACGTTCACAATGATACGGTTTCTCATGTATGGTGTGTGTAAGCATATGCCGTTTAAAATTATCTAATCTTGGAAAACTCTTCTCACATTGTTTACAATGATATTGTTCCATATTGGTATGCATTCGCCTGTGCCGTTTGAGACTATAGATATGCGAAAAACCCTTCTCACAAAATTCACATTGATAAGGCTTCCCATTCGAATGTGTTTGTTGTATCTGCTGATTGGAAGGACCTGAAGATTCAAGACTCTTCTCAAATTGTTCACTGGGATATGTTAATATTATCATATCCATAATAATTAGTTATTCACAACACTTATGATTCAAAATGATTGTAGGACTTCTCAACATGTTCACAAAACATTTCTTAATATTTTCATACAGCATTTTCTTCATCTTATTGAATACAATTCTGATACATGTATTTTTCCAACTCTTTCTTTGCTGTTCACTGCAACTGCAATAAAAAATCAAAGAAATCTTAGAAAAAACTCCTGTTAGTTGAGATTATTGGAGACACATTAAAATTACTTCAAAATTTAAGATTAGCCTTTCAAACAAGAAGCTTGGCACCTATTATTTTTCTGCTATTTGAGATGCACAACATAAAAATATGTGATTCACAATACCAAATTTATATATTTGATTTAACATCTGTGGTTTTTAATCTAAGTTTCAATAAAACGTAATGATTAGCACTTGAAATATCAGCGAAAAGCAGAAAGTTGGCTAATTAGGCAAACTAGGTAATTAATATGCACACATATTAACACAAAACTAATCAGATCTGTACATTGTCCTAGAGCTTCTATCTTCTAAGTTTAATTGAAATGTAGTGATTAGTACTCAAAATATCGGTGAAAAGCTAAAAATTAGCTAATTATACAAATAAGGTAATTAATAAGCACAGACTTTTACCCCAAACCAGATCTGTGCAATATCCTATGACATAAGTTACCGTGTTTCATTGAAATGTGATGATTAGTACTTGAGATATCAATGTAAAAGCCGAAAATAGACTAATCATTATGCAAATTAGGTTAATTAATATGCATGATTTCTTCCCAAAAAAACTGACCAAATCTGTGCATTAATCCAGAGCATCTATGTAACAAGTTCCATCAAAATACAGTAAGTGTTTTTTTAGATATCAGTGGAACGGACAGTCAGAAACACACACTCATACCACACACATGCACGTTTTACCATCCTTGTAAGGACACATTGGATTAAACTTTGATATAGTTGAATTACATGTACCTGTTAATATAGGTGTGTTATGTTTACATTAAAACACTTCTCTATATACGATTTTATTTGGAATTAAATAACTCAATCCCAATGCTATTCAATATAGAATTATAGTGTTTTAATTTAAGTTTAATTAAACAAGCAGCTTCTCAGCTGAGATAACTCCCCTGTTAGCAATGCACATTTCAATTAGAGAATTGAAGATATCATTGCAAAATGAACAAATCTGAGATTGGTATACATGAGGTACTTATATGTATAATATCAGAGCCATCAAACTTGCAGTTTTCAACAAGTCGAAAATATCACTTTTACCGAAAATGACAAAAATATTCATCGAAATTAGAGAATTGAAGATATCATCACAAAATGAACAAATCTGAGAGAGGTCCATCGGCCTCGGGTTTTCAACAAGAAGTCGAAAATATCACTTTTTATCAAATATGACAAATATATTCATCTAAATTAAAGAATTGAAGATATCATCATTAAATGAACAAATCTGAGAGTTCCACCTGTAGTACCTATGTTTAATATCAAAGCAAGCTGACTTGTGGTTTTCAACAAAAAGTCGAAAATATCACTTTTTACCAAAAATGAATTGAAGATCTCCTCATGAAATGAACAAATCTAAGAGAGACCTGCCCAAGGTACATATACACCAAGTATCAAAGCATTCAGGCTTGTAGTTTTCAAGAAGAAGTCAAAAGAGTAAAGCATTGACACGGACAACGACGGACAATCACACATATGATAAGCTCCACTCGACAAAGTCGACAGCGGAGCTAAAAAACACAATATTTGAGCAAAAATAAAATTTTTAATAACTTCACCTATGGGAGGGAGGGGGATTGGTGGTGCTAAATTACTAGTACATTATTTAGATCAGTTTTTATTTTGATTGTATTCATTTAAGTAATTTTTCAACATTTCTTTTTTTAACACAGTCTGTATTTTATTCTTACTTTCATTATTGGATTGTATTTAGAATTGTCTTAGTCTTGTAATATGACAGAACCCCACACCCTCCCCG